AAGGAAGGAAGGAAGGAAGGAAGGAAGGAAGGAAGGAAGGAAGGAAGGAAGGAAGGAAGGAAGGAAGGAAGGAAGGACACTTTTCAAGCAATTTCGAACTATGGCTTTAGTCCCATCTTGTTTATTTACAGATTTATATTCAGATCACTCCCAATGGCTCTGGACAGCTTATCAAAATATAATAGCTAATACATTTATCAAAGTCACCACCATAAAATCCATAAAGCTCTAAAAAGTTTTTTTTTAAAAACCTGGATGAATATATTTTGAATTTGCTAAGCATATTTGGCTTTTGAGAAACATTCAGGCTTTCCAGAATCCACTGGGGGGGAGGGGGGGGAGGAGAGAATAGGATATACATCCATATTGAATGAACATAAGATGCATGTCATCATACTGAATTAAGCAAAAATAATCTCTCAGAGATTATTCTTGGGATATAGGGCACATCCCTTCTACAGAGCAGGTTTTTAGCTGGATCTGGGAATGTAGTTCAAGAGAGAGAAATTTTTTGACTCCAGTAGGCCATGACAAAATTCCAGAACAAAAAAAGGGGGAAAGTTTATAAACTGGCTTGATGATTACAATTGAAGGGAGATTCTGTAAAGGGCTTGTGCAGGCACTCAAAGATGCTAACAAGGGGTCTAGCTTGAAGGAAAGCATGCTCCAAACACAAATCCATCTTTTAAATTTCAATGAGAAAATTAAAAGGACAAGAGCATATCCATTAAAAAAGAAAGAAAGAAAGAAAGCAGGCTTACAAATAAGATTTTTTAAAATGTCTGTTTCTAAGCATTAATGATGTATTTGTCTCTGCTGTAGATATTTATCAATTTAGGTTGCAAATGAATGTGATTATTTTTAATGTATGACAGTTTTTCATAAAAGGGAAGATTCTTTTCCAAGGAATCTTACAGTTTTCGAAGTCTGCAGTCACAGACTTTCCTGAGGTCAAAACTTTTCAGAGAAATTGGGCAAAGGATCAGCATATGCAAACTGATCTATTTTCACTAACTTCTATTGCTAGCTGTGATTGCTTAAATACACATACACCCCCAATCTAATCTAAAATAGAAATCTATACTTTCAGGTGGAATCTTTATTTTTTTGATCAGGCAAAGAATTTGGGGTCTACATTCTCCCCCACCCCCATCCCAGGAACTCTAGAAAAGGCACACACAATTTCCTTGGCAATAAATAAATAATCTATAATCTCTTTAAATACATAGTAGAAAAATTAGAGAGAATATGTATGCAATTAGGTTAGAAAACAGCATCAGCAAGAAAAATTACATACTTATTAGTACAACTGCATAATGCTAATGATTAGCCTTGGCTAATGGAAGAACATTGGGGTATATTTAGAGTACAGGATAGTGTCGCCTGATTATAAAATGTTTTGTTTAGCATGACATTTTAAATATATATTAAAATATTTGGGTACTGCCCTACCCACTAATTTTTTTAAATGTTTTATAAGCCTTGGGCACAATATTGCCAAAATTAAAGTACTCTTACATGATTAGTATGTTAATCATAGAAGGAAATGTAGTTCTAATTCCTCTATTGCAGGGGTATCAAACTCGATTTCATTGAGGGCTGCATCAGGGTTGTGTATTTTTTCTCTCTTGAACTACATTCCCAGATCCTTGGGTAGATGGAGTAGGTGTGGCCAGAGTGGGCATGGCCAGGTTAACATCACTTGCGTCAGAGTGCCTGTGGTGGCCCAAGCGCTCTACCAGCAAAAATGGGCTTGCAAGCTCCATTTTAGGCTGCAACGGCCTCCTGCACAACCCTCAGAGGCGCCATGGACTGATCCTTCACTGTTTCCAAGATGGCCCCACAGGGCAGATTTAAGCACCCAACCTGCCGGATCCGGCCCATGGGCCTTGAGTGTGACACCCCTGCTCTACTATAACAAAGGTTTGGTAAATGAGATCCAAGGTTCAATCCTGGGTACCTCCTTAAAAGAAGATCAAGGAGTAAAACAAGAGAAAATTTATCTGTCTGGATCCTGAAAAGCTACTGCTGTTAGGTGTAGATGATGCTGAAATTATTTGTTAGATTTATATTCCATCTTTTCTCCAGGTGTTCAAGCTGCCCAATGGGTCTCTATTTTATCCGTACAACCTCTAGGTAGATTGGTCTGAAACAAAAAACTAACAGAGAGACACAGGCAGGTTGGTCCAAAGTCTAGTGAATTTCCATGGCTAAGAGTAGACCTGTACTTGGGTCTTCCAATGCTAGTCCAATACTTTAGCTACTACACCATATTGTCAAACCATACACAACATTGATACTGGATTAGTTGGAAAAAGATTCTTCATGGTAATTGAATTTGGCCACTGTGTTTCTCACAAATACACTGTGGTACAGCAGTTCATCGCAGCAAACAAACAAAAATGGCTAGAAAGCAGGATGGTATTAAGGTGATAACAATAATAATGTATTATGCTGCTTTATCTAGCCAGGGGGAAAAAACTCTCCAGACCGCAAAGCAGCATAGCAATCTATGGACCAAAAAGATATTAACCGCGTAGGATGAGCTCTGAATGGCTGCTCTGTGCTTAACAGAGGAGAGCCTTTAGAATGTGTGTTGGGTTATAAAAGAAGGCTCCAACCTAATTCAAGAGGTTCCAAGAATACAGTTGCACTGCACTTAGATAAGAGAAGTAGATGTGATTGACAAACTTTCCATTTGAACAATGTAGTCCATGAGTGAGCTTTAATGTACCTTATATTTGGATAGGATTTTATAAATATATGTACAAGATACGATTGCTATCTATTTGTGATAACCATTTATTACTTGTTAATAGCCTGTCCTCAATCACGCTGGAATCAACCTATTTCCCTACGCTGTGAAGGGATTTGGGTAAATATACTTTTAATCTTAAATGGTGCAGTCCTTATCAAATTTTGGTCCTTATCAAATTTTTATTCATGTCTTCCATAGAATTCCCTCATACAATAGAAGGCAGAAAAAAAAAAGCAATAATTGCAAAATTTCAGCCAATAAAATTAATTGTTAATTTAACCGTCAAACCAGTAAGCATATGAAAGGAACATTCAACAGTCATGTATATTTGAAACGCTGCCCTGCGATGCAACAAATAGTGTTTATGTCCATAATTAAAATAAAACAGGCATTTGTCTAGGAACTGGCAAGAGTTGGGAAAGTAGGGTGGGATAAGTAAGTCCTACGCTAACCCTTGATTAAAGAAAAGATGTTTCAGTCCCCTTTAAAGTCATCAAGCTTTCAGGGACAGGAGAAGGGAAGGAACTGATTCCAGCATCATGAAGGCAGATCTTGCATCTCCAAATCTAGAGACTGGGTCCCTGAAGGGAGGACTAGAAAAATGGCTGTGCTTGAGGAAATTAAGAAAGAAACAGGATTCTAAGGAGAACCAAAAAGAGG